CATCAGCACATTTCCATGTTGCCGGAAGGGGGGTCCACTCACTGCTGGCTCAACTGGATTCGCCTCATCTTCATCAAATACTGCGTGATCTTGGTGATACGCTGCTTGCACTTGTGCGTAATGAAGTTTGGCCAGTAGATCAACTCCGAGTCGATCTGGGTGGTTCAGCACGACCCTGATTGTAATCGCATCCACGTCCGTGGCTCTAACTCACCTGCTGCAGAGCCTTCTCGTAGTTGTTGGACAGTTTGACCCGCTCCCACATGTTCGCCGGGGTGTGCGCCCGTTCAATCGTCTTCATGTACAGATACAGCACACCTGGGATTGTCAGTCACTGCAAGTGTATCGCACTATCCTCGCGTGCTAGCGCTACCTCGCACCGCAGCCTCCACTCACCTTCCTTCTCCCGGACAGTCGCATACCGCGAGTTGGCAAGGGGGCATGATTGCCTGTTGCAGAAACCCGTGAGGTTGTACTCGTTCCTGCAAAAGTTCTGCGTGACGGTCCTGTGGCAGTCAGCACCTCGTCCGGGTGCTACTAGCCGCAGGTGCTCCCTCCATCCCGACTCACTTGACCTTGTACGAGCAGAACCTGAGCTGTCAGTAATTGTTGCTCAAAGGAAAGGCCGATGATCACGCCCACTCACTGGTGGTTGATGACCGACCAAATGACCTCGTCGGACTGATCAAGTCAGCCAGCCGCGCCAGCCTCACCGTTCCACCCGCTCTGAAGCTCACCTGCATGCTACTTTGCTTTGCCTTTGGACTGGGAGACTGTGTGCACGCGATGGCAAGAGCAAAGTTGATCTTGAGACCGGTGGGTGGACCTTAGGTCTGCCGGAAATTATTAAAATCCCTCGGCGGCTTTCCTGACTTTATCCCCAGCTCCAGCTTGCCCGCATTTGCCACCGGAACATCACGTGACTAAACTTCCCCAACACGAGACGTCGGGGTGCTATGCTCAATCCACCGTTGTATCTGTCCTTCTCCCCTCGACCACTTCCTTGCCAGCGCCATGTCAATGTCCGCACTCTTGTCGCAACCGTCCACCTCCCGCGCCGGCGCAGCGCTCTGCCGAGGTACGTGCAACTTCTCCACCTGTCCCGCTACGCTTCTCGGCTGCCTCTGTCACGGTACTGGGCTGACCTCTGCGCAGCCCTTCGTCCCCGCCCCCATGCCATCCCCCCTGCCCTCGCCTCGCGGCGTCACTTCCGCCCCTCCCCACCCGCTTCCACCTCTCACTTCGACACCCACCTCTTCGTCCAGCGGCTCGAGAAGAACGGGATGACGCGCGAGCAAGCGGAGGGGGTGATGACTGTCCTTGCGGAGGTGGTCGAGGAGAGCATCAAAGGTATGGAGGCGGGTTTGGTCAGCAAGGCCGAGCAGGAGAAGGTGAGTGCGGCGGCACTGCCGCGCTTGTGCATCTGTAGTAAGAAGATTGGATGAGCGTAGTCTCCACCTCCCATCCTTGCTTGCTCGCTCATCACCGTCCTTGTCTTGCCGCTCGCCTGCGCCGCCTTACGCCCATAGCAACGGTACACCCAAAAAGTCGACTTTGCCGCGCTCAAGTCCGAGCTCCAGCTACACGAGAAGAACGATCTCACACTCATGAAATCCGAGAACGACCGACTGATGGCCGACGTGGAGAAGCTCAAGCAGCGTCTGCGGGAGGAGGTCACTCGCACGCAGGCGGGTGTGCGGCTCGACCTCAACCTCGAGAAGGGCCGGATCAGGGATGAAAGCAGTCAGCAAGAGCTCAAGATCAAGGAGGTGGACACGCGTATCGAGAGTGAGATCGCGGGTCTGAGGACCCAGATCGAGCAGGCCAAATTCAGCATCCTGCAATACCTCGTTGGTGTGGCGACCGGTTCGGGAGCGTTGCTGGTGAGTGACTTCCAGATACTGTCTTCGAGTCAGGCTGACGTGGATGACAGCTTGCATACATGCGCATGATGGTGAGTTGCTGCAAACAACTTCTTGGCTTTGGCTGTGATGTGCTCGATGGTGATCAAGTGCTAACGTTGGTGTCTCCCAGAGATGAGCAATGCAAGCTTGTGTTATTGTTACTCGACCAGTATTTCCTCGTTGCATAGCATCACCTCACCTGTCAGTGTGAGTTGTACTGTTGAATATCGTGAGAAACAAGCTCTGCGCGTCGAGACGCCTGCCAGGGAGGGCGGGTATGGTCGACGGCAACCTGTGCTGGGCAAGTGGGCGGTTCTGCATAGCCACGCGAGGCATGCACAAACGCGCTCGTCCCTCTGCCACAATTATCTGAAACCAATCCTAGAGTCTGTGAGCTGTTCGGGTCCCTATCGGACACACAGACCACAACGAGACACCTCAAGATCATGCACAGGCGCGCTCAGCGACACGTTCAGTGTTCACTTCTCCATCTCAATACAGCTCACGATACTGCTCACAATATCTTTTGGCCTCCTCCGCGCTAATCGAACCAGGGCAATCGCACTACCAAGTGTAACCACCTCGACTGTTTTCGCCTCCGATCGAAGCTCACATGACGGGAGCGGTCAGCGATGGCGCCGTGACGCTATGGATCGAGCCATCAGCAGCTTAGGATATGAGACCAGGTGGAACGGAGCTCGAGGTAATGATCGAGTCACCATGATCCAGCTCACCGTGAATCAGTCGGACATCGATAAAGATGTGTTAAGACGCTCATGAGGACGACTATGGCAAATCCTCAGGTGTGCAATGCTATGGTAGCTTCCAGGGCATTCGCATCACCCACAGCCTCGGCTCCGTGGCCGGACCTACCGCCATCGAAGCGCTTATATGAAGTAGCCCTGATACTGTACCAACCTTGCCGAGCGATGGGTAAGCACTATCAAGCCCTTTGACTAGTGGATCCCACCCAGCGTACATAGTTCACTATCCATGCAGTATACGCGGCCGAGTCTCGTCTCCCCGAGGCCTTCTACGTCAACCACTACAACTCGCTGGTCGTCAAGTGCAACTCTATCAACCCGACCAAAGTAGCGCCGACGGAAGCCCATCTGGACCCCTCCGCTCCACCTTCCCCCC